GGCTTCGGAGAGCTTCATATTGAGGTGCTTTAGCTGGTTGTGCCACCAGGGAGAGCCCGGAACGATAAGTTTTTAAAAATAATTTATTTGTCTATATTTTACATCATTGTCATTTTTTATTTACAGTGTTTGCTTTCTCCTCATGTGTAGTTCCCATAGAATTTCTACCACCAATTTACCCGTGCACCATCACCACAGTCCCTTGTGCTCTTCTTTCCCTCATTTTCATCCCTCTCCCTCCCACTCTGCAGAATGTCTCTGATTTATAGTTGTCTGTTTATTTTTGTTTTGTTTGTTGTGGTTTTTGTTATTTTTTCCCCTTGATCCCTTGTATGGTTCCCCTATATTCCTTGTATAAGGAAAGGATCTGATATTTTTCTTTTTCCTTCTAGCTTATTTCACTAAGCATAATCCCTCCTAACTCCATCCATATCGCTGTGACAGGAGTTTATCTTTTTGATTACTGAATATTATTCTGTTGTGTATATACCACACGTTCTTGATCTGGTCATCTACTTTGGGGCAGTTGGGCTGTTTCCAAGACTTAACTATTGTAAATAGTGCTGCCATAAACATGGGGGTACAGGTATTATTTTGAATTAAAGTTTTTGTGTTTTTTGGGTAGATTCCTGGGAGTGGAATTGCTGGGTACATTTTTATTGGTCTGAGGAAACTCCATGCAGCTTTCCAAAGTGGTTGGACCAGTTTTGCATTCCCACCAGCAGTACAAGAGAGTTCCTTTCCCCCCACATCCTTGCCAATTTGCTGTTGTTTGTTTTAACATGTGCCATACTTATTGGTGTAACACGGTATCTTATTGCGGTTTTAATCATTAAAAGCCTGAAAAAGCCACCAAGGGCTCCAGGATGCCTCCCTTTCCCATCTTCCCAGATCATAGAAAACTTGCTCTGTGCCTTGCTGGCACTTCAAAAGCTATTGAGATGTAATCGCACACTGCCATTTTGCCGTTTTGTTTTGTCTTATCTTTTTTTTTTTTTTTTAGGTTTCCTATTATGTTTTATGTTCCATTTCCATTGTCTTAAGTGTTACTTCTATTTTTTGTTTGTGGGTTCTACTGACATTTTGAATGGACTATTTGTGTTACCCATTGGATTGTTCAGTCTCTAGCTGTCTGCAGTGAGCCACATTGTTACTTTACTTTTCTCCTCCATTTAGTAATTTAGTAAAGCATTTCGGTGTCTGCTGCCCTAATAGTTGTTCTTTTGCATTATCATAACCACTCTAGGGTATCTTTCATGTGCAGTTTCAATGCTAATACATTCTTCTAGTGTTTGCTTTTCACATAACTCTCCCTTTTAACTCTCCCTTTTATCTTGATAACTTTTGTTGGATAAAAGTTTCTGCACTGGAAGTCTTTTAATACCTCTTTCCAGTCCCTTTATGCTTGTAATGTTTCTGCTGAAAAGTCTGACAGTCTGATTGGTGAGGAGTAGACATAAAATAGGTTTGGGGCAGTAAGTATCAAAGGATCACCTCCAGTAGACCCAGGAATTTGAACTTCCAATTGTGAAGCAGTTATTTGAGGAGGGTAGCAAGTATTTTAGATTCTCAGTCTGGGGCAGGGGTTGGCAGGTGTTTAAGATGTCTCAGCTTAGGCTTCAGTAGTAGCCCCTGCTTTAGGGAAGCTCAGGTGCGGTGACCTGATTCAGGCTACAGGTGTTGTGTTATGAGCAACAAATCTAAGTCAGTAATCCTTGCTCCTCTCCAGCTATAGAGTAATGCACCTTCCATCCTGGGTGCCTGCTTATGCGCCCCCTTATCCAGTGCAGGGCCAGGTCTTAGGAGTCATATAACAGTAGGGGCCTCTGCACCACAGTCACTCCTCCCTTTTGTGGGTTGTATTTCTCCATTATCACTCTAAAGAGTTCATGTAAGGGTTTTCCTTTCCTTTTCTGTTGGGCTGATATTCCTTTTGTGTGTGATAATTTTGCCCTCAGGCTTTTGGCGGTTTATTTTTACTTTTTATTTACATCAGTTTATTAGCATTTGAAGTGAGCCCCATATTTTCATTATGCAGTCATCTAGCCATACTTTCTAATTAAAAAATTTTTTTAATCATGACTTTTTTAAAGATTTATTCATTTATGCATCAAGAACTGGGATAAAGGACTTTATCCCACTTCCAATCAACCCGAATATCATGGGTTCTTATTTCTTTTAAAGATTTATTTATTTAGGCATACAGAACTGGGGTACAGGCCAGAGGTTGGAGTGGGGGGTGAGAGGATCCACCAGAGACAGATGGGAAGCAGAACAGACAGACTGACAAGTACACTCTGAGGGGAGCAGCAGGAGAGATAGGAGAGGTCTGCTGCGTGGTATGGATCACCTTCAGGGCTGGAGATCCAAATCGCTTTTGTTTTGAAGCCTCTCTGGTAAGCTAGCCGTACTGGGTCCTAAGGTCCTAACTCACTGCGCCACCAGGGACAGCCAAGGGGTACTTATTTCTATTGTTCTGTATTGATTACCTCCCATCTCCTCAGAGAGAACACTGGTTCCAAATAACATTAACTCTTGCTTTTTACAGGCATAATAAGTTTACTCAAAATTATTTCTTTGCACTTCTTTTTTTTCTCACACTATATCCCACTACTCCTAACTCAAGGACATAGAGCACTGTGCTCAAGTTAACTGAATAAATTATTTTCCCATGTATGATTATGATAGCAGTTAATAAACAGACGGGTTCATTTCGTGTGTGTGTGTGTCTTTCAGTATTTGTGCATACAGAACTGGGGTACAAGCCAGAGATGCAGGGACGGCAAGAGCATTCACCAGAGACAGAGCGGGGAGCAGAACAGGCCGATTGACAAGTAAGTACACTGCGAAAGGGAGCAGCAGGCGGGTCAGGAGAGGTCTGCAGTACCCTGTGGTCACCTCCCGGGCAGGCGGGATCACACTCAGACGGAAGTGGCTTTCGATTGTTAGTGCTGCACTTTATCTGGCTGTGCCACCAGGGAGGGCCCTTTTTGTGTGTTAATTTTAGGGCTTGCTTTTATTTTCATAGTTTTAGACTTTAAAAAAAAAGGAAACTATATTTAATAAACAAAGTTACACAGAAAACCTACTGCATCACTAATTTTTGAAAAACATTCCCACTCATACCCTTAACCTTTTTTACCTAATATTCTGCTTTATAGTTGTATTTATCTCTTCGAAAATATAAGTCCCTTGAGGGTTTATGTCTATTTTTGTTCACTCTCCTCTACTAATTCTCTAACCTCTACTCTAGCATTTGGCAAATAGCAGCTTTTCAACAAATACTGTCTAACAATAAATAAATGTAGTAGCACCTGGAGGGTTCAAACTCTGGGATTCCTAACCAGCTCACAAAAGCAATAAAGGTACTATGAGGGGTTAAGAGGGAAGCACATTTGGTGTCAGACTTGCTTTCAGACTTGCCTGAAAGAGCAAGTCTTTGGTGACATGGTGTCCACCAAAGAGTTGAGTCCCAGTCTGAATAGGAAAAAAGTTTTCATTTTATCTTTTTTCCCTTTAATTTCTCAGTTTATTTTTACTTCTAGCTCTTCATCCTCTTCTCTATTCCATATTCGCCTCACTTCAGACATGATTATTTTGTGGAGAAAGAAGGCAAACTAGATGAGGTAGCAGTAGGAAGTGAAGGTAGGTTGTGAGAAATAAAAGTATAGAAATCTGTAAGAAAGAATGACAGTGGGTTCAATCAAACTCGGTATCCTCCAATTCTACTAGTCAAGTGATTATGATGGAAAACTAGATATCAACAGTGGGGTCATGATGTCCAACTGATGATATCAAGTGTAAATTCCAGCTCTGCCACTAATAGTCATAATCCTGTCAAAATTACTTAATCTTGTGAACTCAAAATGTATAAAATGGCGATAATCGTTTCTACCTCAAAGAGTTGTCCTCTCGATCACTAAGAAAATCCATTTGATACGCTTAGCTCCTCGACTGTCATACGTAAATGCTCAATTAACATCATCAGTTATTTTTCTTTAAAATAAAGTCATCAGGGAAAAAGAGCCAAGTAGTATTAGTCATAAGACTGTAATAGTACCGTACTCAAAAGAGAGTCACTTTAAAAGAAGCAGAGGCCCTCCCTGGTGGCGCAGCGGGTTAAAGCACTGTACTGAGAAGCTAAAGCCACTTCCGCATGAGTTCGATTCCAGCCTGCCCAGGAGGAGTCCACATGGCAGGCAGACCTCTCCTGACCCGCCCGCTGCTCCCCTCAGCAGTGTACTTCGTAGATCTGCCTGTTCTGCTCCCCACTCTGTCTCTGGTGAAGCCTCTCACCGCCCCTGAGCCTCTGGCCTGTACCCCAGTTCTGTATGTACAAATAAATAAATCTTAAAAAAAAATGTATATATATAAGAAGCAGAGAAGATGCACGCTTTGAAAACTGCAGACATCTTGCCTGTGTATGGAAGGTAGTCACAGCACAGCGCCTCGCATGGAAAGCTGCTTCGTATTTTCAGAAAAAACGAACATAAACATGTTTATAAAAATGAACTTGGGGAAATTTATTTCAGGCATGAAGCCCACTGTGGACGACAGGTCAGGGTCTTGCAGCGTCCTTTAGGTGCTGCAGCACTATTGTAAGCGATTGTCCAGGTGTGTGGTCCTCGACCCCGTCCCTAGGGGAGTCACCGCTCGCAGTGTTGTCACGTCGGGGCCTTCGCCAGGTCTTTTTATTTCTCGGATAGAAGGCTAGACGATCACCCCACTATCTGAAATAGCAACTAACCGCTGCCACAAAGGAACGCTCCAAGGAGCCCCGAGGTAAGGGGACCCAGACTTTGCACCGCCCACCAGCCCGCCTCCTCCCATTGGTCACCAGCGACCCAAGACCCTCCCCCCCCAGATTTGAAAGTTTCTTCCGGGAGCGGGTGGGAGACCCACGCGCACGCGCTCCCGTGCGCCGGCACGGGGGCTCCGCCCACTCCCAGCGTTCAATGCGGCGCCCTGACCGCCATTGTTTGAATTTGAAAAAGACAACGCTGTTCTGCTCGCTGGTCGGGCTGGCCAGGCAACATTTGCAGGTAAGGAGGCATCTTGGGCAAGGGTGCGGCGAAAGAAGTGGGTGACAGTGCATTTACTAGTTACGAGGCAAAGAAACGAGTCCAGCTATGGGAACATCTTATGGGTCTCGAGACGCTGCTGAGATTACTTTCAGAAACTGGGGTGCGGAGCGATCGCGGTGCCTGGCACCTAGCGCTTATTGAAGGGTTAAGCCATATTACTTGGTTAAGGTTTAAATTACCTCTCCACCGCTTTCTAGCTGAATGACACAAGGTGACGTATTTAATCTCTGGGACTCAGCTCCTGTGTCAGTTAAAGAGGATAATTAATAGTACCTACCTTTTCCGGCTCTTGCAAGGATAACATGACTGTATATCGTAAGCACTAAGTGTTTGCGATCTTTTTATTATTGTTGGCTGCTGTTATTTTGTTGGGGCGCAGGCCTTTTTGTCAAACCTAGGTTCTTGAGTCCTGGAGATGAATAGTTTTAGTTTTCTCAAGTGACAGCCACAGTTGGGAAGGAAGACCCCTGTTCTGGCCATCTGAACATTTATTTACAGTCTGTGGTCGGTGACAAGACTCTGTAAGATAGTAATGTCCTGTTTGGACTCAACAGTGCCAAGAGGAATGAGGTTGGGATTGGGAGGACTGCAATGATTGCTGTCATAGTTTAGAAGGTTCTCCCCACTCCACCCCTGCACCGTCTCGTTTTACCCCTGGTTCAGCGATTCCTGCCTTACACAATTCTGTAATTAATAATATCTTGCAGCAAGATTGGTTGACTCAAGCTCGTGCCTTATAAGTTAGCTTGTTTTTAGCCCTTAAGGTGATCGCATTCGGGTTCATTTTGTTTTTTAACGTAGAGCGCATCTTTGACTTCATTACCGGTGGATGCTCATTACTATCTTAATGAGCTTGGTTTGAGGGGGTTCACTGTTCTGAATATTTTATACTATTGTGAAAAACAACAGTCTCCTATCTTTTCCCCTATTTACAGAGCAATTGCTCTGTAAATATTTGATTAGTATTTTTTCAGTTAAAGTTGTTACCCGTATGTTTTCCTTTAAGTTGATGGCCTGGTATGTAATTCAGTTGTAATATTTTATTGCACTATTCTGTGTTCACCTTAATTTAAAACCTTCAGTGCATCAGGTACTGTTTTGCAATTATTTGGAAGATTCCACTTGAAAGTAGCCATCTATGGAACTGAGTTTAATTCTGAGATGCTAAAACATTGCATACAAGATAAGTAACATTCTGCAGAAACTTAAAATAAAACAAGCTTCTAATTTACTCCCCAGTCTCCTTACTATTTTATTTCAGACAGAGATCTTTGTTTTCTACTATCTGAATCTACAGATTGTCTTTACTCATTAAGTCCTTGCATGGATATATCCATAGACTAGATCGTATGAGCAGTAGTAGTGGGCTATTCAATATTTAATTGAGATTCTTTAAATAATTTAATATTTAATTTTTTTAATATTTAATATTAAATTTTTTCCCTGGATCATTAAATTACCTATGAAGCAATGTACTGGTTTATTTCCCCCAATCTGGAAATCTAGTTACTGTATCTGGTGTGAAGTAATAGGCTAGACTCAGACTTTTTAAACTATAGGTGACTTACATGCTGATTTATTATATTTCTAAAGTTGCTATTATTCTTGCAGAATGGAGTCTAATTTAAATCACGATGGGGTACCTAGACCATCTTACGTTTTTAGTGCTGACCCAATTGCAAGGCCTTTGGAAATAAATTTTGATGGAGTTAAACTTGATCTCTCTCGTGAGTTTTCTTTAGTTGCTTCAAATACTGAGGTAAGTATGAGAAAAGCTTGTTAATTTTCATGATTAGATGGAAATGTGTATTTGTAGAAACAGAGTTTTACAAAATGGGTTTAAGGTAAACTTCAATTTTTTCTTGGCTCCCTGAACACAAAACTGTTCCTTTCAAGTAGTAGGTCCAAACAGCTATCTTTGCCCTAACCTAATAGTCATATGAAGAAAATTTTACTTAAACAAAAAGCCAAATTTTATATTTTGTTCTTCAATATGTGCAGCTACTAATGGATATATGTGCCCTTTGGACACTGCACAAGTTCTTGAGCTGTAGGATCAGATTAGACATTGCCGCCCTATTTCCTGTTTCTCATTTTCAGAGTAGTACATTTTTAACACAACAACCATTGAAAAAATCCAACTTTACAAAGATATAACAATCAAAAGAAATAATGTGACCTAATATTGAAACTGAACTACTTGGATCTAAAAGTTAATGTTGTTCAACTTATATCAAGTACTGCTGTGTTTATCTTAAATGTAGAATACTCCAGTATACCACTTGGATTTTGCAGTCTTAGTTTAAAAACTAACAAATTTTCAAAAATTAAAATAACTCAGTCATGTTTAAGAAGTAAAGTCATTCTGCCACCCTACCTACAACCACTGTAAAGTTCGTTAGGTGTCTTATATGCTTTTTCTCATACATTTACTTTTCAATTCATCAATATTTGATACATTTTCAATTATTAGTTTTGATGTCTTAGATGGATAAACCCACATTGTAAAGAATGATGGAAATGGTATAGGAAACATAAAAGAAAAATGCTTAATGCCCATCATGTGCTCCCAAATCTAGAAAAGGGCTCTTGAGCCCCTCTGGTCAAGATTGAAAAGAGGACCCCACAGACATCAGTGAGGGCAAGCCGGAGTCAGCATTTATTGATTATCGAAAGAGCACTTCCCAGAGACTTCTCTGTGATGAGAGACTCTCTAAGATGCCAGGAGTAGGGATCTATTTAAGATTTAGGAATGGGGATGAGAACAAAGGAATTAAACTTTATTGGCTAAGAAAGCGATGAGAGTGGACTTCGCTAAAGTCCATTCATCACTGCTGGTTGAGGCTATCAGTCAGCTTCAATTCAGCACTCATGCAGGGTAAATGACCATCTCCAAAGTGAATATCTCGTGGTGACCATGTGCCCCTAGCCCCGTTTTGAACTGGGTCTTTTCTCAGAGTCTGTAACTTTTTTTCCATAGTAGCCAACTTGGTAAGTTGTAAAGAGGTAACTCAGAAATGTTCAGGCTAGGGAAAAATTAGTAATAAAAACAATGACCCAAGGAAATTGATGGCAGCTAGTGTCATGGCCAAGGTTCATCAGGACTGTTTTACCTCTTGTTTATCAGCCCATGGAAATAGCAAAGTTCTGCCCTTGAGTACTGTCCTGCTATGGTCCCAGGATTCTGTGTGTCTCAAATGGGCCTTTTTTTTTTCAAGATTTATTTATTTATACAAGAACTGGGGTATAGGCTAGAGACACAGGGGTGAAAGGATTCACCAGAGACAGAGTGGAGCAGAATAGGCATATCAATGAAGTACACTGCTGAGGAGAGCAGTGCCAGGGGAGGTCTGCTGTGCCATGTGGGTCACCCCCACCAGGGATAGAACCAGCCCTGCCAGGTCTATAGGGCTGTACTTTAACCCTTTGTGCCACCAGGGAGGGCCTCAAATGGGCCTTTTTTAAAGAAACTATCAAACTTTTCCAAAATAATAATAGATTTTATACTATTATAATGTATAAGATACATTGTACAATGTATGAAAGCTGTAATTCTACAGCCTCACCAATATTTGAGATAGTCATAGATTTTTTAGAGCAGTCCTATGTATATTCACAGCAAAATTGAAAAAGTATAGGATTTCACATGTACCCTCTACTTTCACACACATGAGGCTTCTACCATTATCTACATTTCCCATCAGAGTGATACATTTGTTAGAGTTAATGAACCCGTATTGATAATGTTAGCACCCAGAGTCCATAATGTATACTAGGGTTCTTTTAGTGTTGTACGTTCTATGGGTTTGAACGAATGTACAGTGGCATATATATACCATTAGGGTATCATACAAAGTACTTTCCTTACCCAAAAATCTGTGCTCCACCTGTTTATTCTTTTACCCCCACCACTCACTGATCTTTCAGCTGTGTCTCTAGCTTTACCTTTTCTATAACGTGATTTGGTTGGCATCACATAGATCACAGCCTTTCGCATTGGCTTCTTTCACTTAGTAATAGGCGTTTAAGGTTCCTTCATGTCTTTCAGTGGCTTGATAGCATTTTTCTTCTAAGTGCCAGAAAATATTCCACTGTCTGAATGTACCAGTTTATCCATTCCGAATTAATTTTGGTGAGGCATCTATGTCTATCTAGATTAATCTTTTTGCAGGTGAATGTCCACTATTCTACATCATTTGCTGAGAAGACTTGTTACTCAGTTACTCCTTTTGCTTCTCCAACACAGTCATCTGACCATTATAGTCTTGGGGATCTAGTTCAGGACTCTGTTTTGGTCCACTGATTGATTTTGTTCTTTTGCCAATACCACATTATTGATTACTGTTCATTTTATACTGTATCTTGAAGTCAGTCTGTGTCAGTCCCATCTTTCAATTTCATGTTGGGAAATCTTCTAGTCTTTCTAATAAGATTGTGTTGGTATCAAATGGTATTTATATTGACCTGATGACTAAAAATGCTGAGTATATTTTCATGTCCTTATTTGTCATTTGTGTATCTTTGAAGTTTCTATTTAAATCTTTTGCCCATTTAAAAAATTTCAGTTGTTTTTTTCTTAGTGAATTTGAAGTATTCTTTATCTTCCCCAGATACATACTTATCAAAAATCCAAATATCTTCTAACAGTCTGTGATTTCTCTTCATTTCATTTTGAAGAGCATAAATTTTTTATGATGAAATCTATTTTATCTGTTTGTTCGATTGTACAATGTGATTTTGGTGTCATATCAAAGAAATCTTTGCCTAACTCAAGGCCTCAGAAATTTTCTTCCATGCTTTTCATTTAAAGTTGTGTAGTTTTACATTTACATTTACATCTAGGTCTGTTATTCATTATTTCTTATGTACAATGTGAAGTTTCTATCCAAATTCATTTTTTGTTGTTGCATATAAATATCCATTTGTTCTACTATAATTTGCTCATAAAACTATCTTGCATCTCCTTGCACCTTTATCTTAGACCAGATGACCTTTTTGTGGGGTCTCATTTCTGAATATTCTGTTTCATTGTTCTGTTTGTCCTGCCAGTATTCCCACTGTTTTGGTTTACTGTATCTTCAAATCAGTAGTATGAGCCCACAAATCTTTTCTTTTTCAAAGTTGTTTTGATTCTTCTAGGTATTTTGTATTCCCTGTTAAAGGAACTTGTTATTTTCTACCAAAAAAAATGGGATTCTGATTGATTGCATTGAACATGCATCAATTTGAAAGAACTGATATAACAATATTGAGTCTAACAAATGATGAACAATGTGAATTTCCATTTCTTTTGCTCTCCTTTACTTTCTCTAAGAAATGTTTTCTAGTTCTCAGTATATGGCTCTTTCACATCTTTTATCATGTCTACCTGTATTTCATAATTTTTGATCTATTGCAAATAGTATTAGTTTTGAAAATCAATTTTTGCTTTTTACCTTTCTAATACATAGAAAAACAACTGATTTTATATATTGATTTTGTATCAGCCTTCATAGCTAAATTCATTTAATAATACCAGTAACTTGTAGCTTCTGTCAGATTTTGTATACAGATGTTTATTTGTCTATGAATAAAGATAATTGTTTCTGGATAAAGATAACTTTTATTTTTTCCTCCCCAATTTAGATACCTTTTCTTTCTCACTTACTTTTTGACTTGAACTTCTGGTACAGTTTTAAATAGAAATACTGAGAGCCAAAATCCCTGTCTTTTCACTCCTTTTGCTACTCATCTTAGATTCACTCTATACTGTGGAGTTTTTGTAAATGTTGTTTATCAAGTAAAGGAATTTCCCTTCATTCTTGTTAGATGAAAGTTTTTATTACGAATGGATTTTGAACAGTTTTGTCAAATTTATGTTATTTTTCAAGTGCTTTTTTTGCACTAAGGAAACTGAAAGTTTCCTCTCATATCCTTTGATGTGCTAATTGATCTTTTATTCCTGGGATACCCATTCTTTCTTTCTTTCTTTTTTTTTAAGGTTTATTTTTTATTTATTTATGCATACAAGTACTGGGGAGTAGGCCAGAGATGTGGGGGCAGGGGTGAAAGGATTCACAAAGGCAGAATGGGAAGAACAAGTAGATCTACCGAAATACACTGTTTAGGGGAGCACAGAGTGAGACCCAAGAGGCCTGCCGCACCATGTGGATTAACTCCCTGGCCACTGTGGCTGGCAACAGCTTGACAGTGCTAAGACCTAACCCCTGCGCCACCAGGGAGGCCCTGGGATAACTCATTCTTGATTAGGATATGTTATTCTATTTTATGTAGTGGCTGATAATTTAATTGGGGATTTTTACATCTACTTTTTTTTATAGCTGTAATTAAACTGATAGCTTAATATACAGGATATTCTTGTTTTCTAATTGCTTTGTACTCAAGCACATTAAAATTTCACGAGAACAAGAAATATGCCTCATTCATCTTTATATTCCTTGAATGTCCAGAATAGCTTGTGATCAGGTAGTTATTCAGAAAATATGCATTTCATTAAAATGTTTGTATTTTTTTGTTTATAGCAAAATTCTCTATAATAAAACTAGCTAATAAATAGATTTCTATAATGAAGTCAGTTAGCATTTTTGCATTTTATTTCCTTGTGTCAGCTACTTCCTGTTTTGAAAAATTTGTGTATACTGATAATGCAGTTGTATGCTGTTAGTAGGCATTTCTCTCTGATGAATTTGTGGCCTACCCCTGCTGAACACACACTGGGTGGGTCTTGCTGTGGACTGATGCAGCTACATCCCCTAGACAGTGTAAAACTTGAGAGATCTGACATTTGAAATTAATGACCTACTTCCTCTTCTCCTTCACCATTATCCTTGTTTAGTTATCCCCGCCCCCAAATTACTGGCTTTCATTCCCTTAGACAGCATAATTTTGAGAGTACAACTTCACACCTCAACATGTGTACATACTTCACCCCATACCGGTGCTCCGCCAATGCCTTATGACTTGACTTCTCTCCCTTTCCTCCCACACCATCCCCCTCTTTTAAACACTGTATTTCACAGAGTCTAAGTTATGTTTGTTATGTTTTGCCAGCTTATTTTTTTGAGTAAAACTTTCTTTCACTCTGATTTATTTTACATAGCATCATCTCAAACTCTATCCATTTTGTCCCAAAAGGCACTATTTCATCAGCTTCAATGCCCAAGTATTTTTCCATTGGATATATATTCCAGTGTATATATATATATTCCAAAGATACTTCTTTATCTAGTCATCTGTGGATGGGAATAGGTCTTGGCTATTGCGAGTAATGCTGGTACGTACATAAGAGAACATAAATCTTTTCATATTAGAGTTTTCATGTTCTTTGTGTAAATATCTAGAATAGATATCACTGAATCATGGTATTTGCACTTTCAGTTTTTAATATGGAATATCCATATCATTTTCCTTACATGCTGCATCAATTTATATTCCCGCCAATAGTGGATAAGCGTGTGCCCTCCGTGGAGGCACAGTGGGTTAAAGCACAGCAGTATGGAGCTATCCACAGTCACTGTAGCATTAGTTCGATCCCCCAGCCAGGGAGGTGACCCACATGGTATGTTAGACCTCTCATTCAGTGTTGTTGTTGTTGTTGTTTTTAATAGCTTTAGTCTCTTAGTGAAGGAATCTTTCTGTTTCTTGATCATTTTCTAGATCTTAAAACTGTCTTTATATTGGATTAAGCTGCTAGGATTCCATTGAGTTTCTTTAATTTTTTTTTTCTAAACCCCATCTATTAGGACTTGAAATCCTATGTCATTTACATAGATCTCTGGACATATATTCTTCTTTTTTAGATATTCCATTTTGTGTTAAAATGCTCATTGTTAGGCATTGCCTTATTTGGTTTTTCTGGTTGGGTCATTGTGCCTTTAGTTTTGTTTATCTTCTTTGTTTAACTTGATGAAGGTAAGTGAGGGAGGGAAGACTGTAGTTGAGAAACTGAGCCTCAGTCTTGCTGGAGAGGGAGATCTGTGCTGGATGAGGAGTCAATCTTACACTGCCTGTTCTCCCCATGGATCCAGAATAAACACTGATCACTGCTGCCTAGAGCCTGAATACTAGGATCCTACCTCCTTTTCCCATCTCCTTGCACAGCAGTTTTCACTATAATCTTTCCACAGGAAAGGTAAGATAGGACTCTGCTACCTGCACTGCCAGCAGCTAAATTTTCTATGACTGAACAGAATCCCAGCACCTGTGTGCATGTTGCTCCACATTCCATATTCACATACCACCAAGGTGTGTTGCACCATGTAGTCTGTGTCCACTCTCCAGCTTGCCCAGCTTCCTGGAGTGCCTGGGTGCAACTTCTCCTCCCCATTATGCCTCCATTGCCAGCAACCAGCCTTGTGTGAAATGTCACATGGGTCACTCTCCCTATTCCAATTATGAGCTGGTAAAATCTGTGTGCATATTGTTTTTTTCTAGTTATACTGAGGGGACAGTTTTATCAAAGCTTCCCTATTCTGATTTGATTTGATATTCTGATTTTTCTGAGGATGACTGTTAGGTTATATCATTAAAGGATATATCAAGGTCAAAATTAGTTGTGATGTGTTCAGTTCTTTTTAAGATTCATTTCTTTGTACATATAAGAACTGGGGTACAGGCCATAGTTGGGGTGAGAGGTTCACCAAAGAGAGCGGGGAGTAGAACCGGCGGATCTACTGAAATATACTGCTGAGGGGAGCAGCTCGCAAGACAGGAAAGGTCTGCCAAGCCATGTGGGTCAGCTCCCTGGGATTGCAGTGGTTTTGGGTATTTCATAGTGCTGCACATTAACCCCTTGAGCCACCAGGGAGGCCCCTCGGTATGTTCAACTCTTTATTTATTTAATTTAATTTCACTATAGTTTATATGACTATATTCTCAAATTTTAGTGAGAATTTACGAATGAATTATCAGGGTTTATGGAATTTTTGTGGGATTATTTCATTTTAATATAACTTTAATTTCTTTAGTAGATATAAGGTAGTCATCTTTTCTAGTTTTTATGTCTTACTTGATTGTATCTTTCAAATAATTACTCCTAAAATTTTAGACATTTATTTAAAACTACTTTTTAAAATATGCTGTGTCATTTTTTTTTCCATCTAAAGGAAGCAGTAAGGAAAATGCTAGATTCCTGATGAAATTGAACATTTAGTTTAATATACTTTTCTGGACACTAGAAGTTTTTTTCCTAGAGTTCTTTGTTACAGTGACTTAGATTCATGCTGCTTATATTAGTATACAGGTTAAGATTTTATAGCAAAGACTTAAATAAAACTTGAGCCATAAATATAGGAGGTAGCAGAGACAACCTTTTGTAGTGTATTTTGTTATTTTTAAATAGATATGCTTTCTTAATTTAAAAATAAAGTGGTTAAAAACAAAAGAATTACTGCTTTGCATTCTCTAGATAATCTGATATTGATGTGCACCAATTAGTTACTTTAAGTAAGATTACTGTGAAAATCCCTATTTTTTTTAACATCCTTGTTAAAAACTGTATTTTTTTTACAGTATTTAACAATATTGCTGTATTTTTTTTACAGTATAGGATTTCTCCCCTCAGCAGTGGTCACCACCAAAACCTCACTTTTCTAAAAGCTCTCCCACCACTGAAGTGCCCACAGCCCTCCACCAAATTCCCTTCCCACCCCACTCCACCAAGCGTATTTCTCCTCTTTCTCGCCCATACCTTTTAGATCTATAGTCTGGAAAAGCCCTATTTTGCATTTTTTTTTCCTATTTTGTGTTTTTATGGTACAATTATTTTTCTCTCTTTTTTAAGGCAAACAATTTGGAATTCAAAGATTATCTCCAAGTTTGTCTTCGAATAAGACCCTTCACACAGTCAGAAAAGGAACATGATCCTCAGGTTTGTGTTGAATTTACTTGGTCTTTAATATCTTACCTTCTACATTTTGTGGGCAAAATGCCATTTTTGGGAACTTTATTGTGTGTTTATTTTTACTAATTTATGTGTTCTAGGGCTGTGTGTATATTCTGGACTCACAAACTGTGTTGTTGAAAGATCCTCAAAGCATTCTTGGCCGGATAAGCGAGAAAAGCTCTGTACAGATGGCACAGAAATTCAGTTTTTCTAAGGTAAGTACTTTGGAAAATGTGACTGATTTTTTTTTTCCTTTAAGAAAAAGAGATGTGGGCCTCTAGGAGCACAAGGTTTAGGTCTCAGCGCTGTCAAGCTTCGCTATTCACTAGCACTGCAACAGCACCAGTTCAGGCCCTCGCTAGGGAGGTGATCTACATAGTGCAGCAGACCTCTTCTGTCTTGCCCACTGTCCCCTCAGCAGTGTACTTCGTCGATCTGCCTTTCTCCTCCCCACTCTGTCTCTGGTGAATCCTCTTAACCTCCCTTTTACTGGCTATACCCAGTTTTCGAATGAATAAATGAATCTTTTTTAAAAAGAGAAAGAGACTTAGTTTAGGCTAAATTGCTGCATGATTATATATGATGGACATATATATGTAGATATGTATGTATATCTTGTGCTTATGGAAGTGGGATGATAAGGTATTGGTATATTTTCCTCAAATTTTAGGCCCTTTAATGTATAATTATTAGTGAATAGTCTTTTTTTAAAAAAGTTAAGATTTGTCTATTTATGCATACAAGAGCCGGGGTGTAGGCAGAGGTGCAGGGGAGTGTGGTGATGAAAGATTCACCAGAGACTGAGTGGGGAGCAGATCAAGTGGGCTGACTGAAGTACACTGCTGAGGGGAGCAGTGGGCAAGACAGGAGAGGTCTGTTGTGCAATGTGGGTTAGTTCCCTCACCAAGGATCAGACTTGTGCTGCCGTGGCTGCCAATAGCTTCATAGTGCTGAGACTTTACCCCTTTGGCCACTAGGGAGACCCTAGTCTTTAAAATTTTTTAAAGAAATGTTCTTTTCAAAATTTAGGAAAATTTGATTGGCTGGCTCAGATTTTTATTTTAAAAGCTTCCTGACAAACTGCTAAATATATTTATAGGAGTTGGGGGATGTGGCACCTGTTTTAAAATTGAGTCTTATAAAGCAAATATTTTTTCAGTTTAAATCATGAAAGGGTAGAACTCATTGTGAATATGAACTTGGATTTTCTGGGGAAAAAATTATTTTTAAAATGCCTATTTAGGTTTTTGGCCCAGAAACTACACAGAAGGAATTCTTCCAAGGTTGTATTAGACAGCCAATAAAAGACCTCTTGACAGGACAAAGTCGACTGATTTTTACATATGGACTAACCAACTCAGGAAAGACATATACATTTCAGGGTAAGTTGTTTTATTTTTTTCTGGAACGGAAAAAGAAGCACTGACATGTTGTCACTTGTATAATAGTTGCATGTAATTATGTTTCTATTATCTAGATGTTTAGCCACAGTTTAATAATGAGTGTTTTTGCCAGTGACTTTTAAATCATACTGGTTTAATTCATTTATGAGACTACATTATGCATCTGACAGAAGTAAATGATAAAAATTCAGAAAAAGGGTTGATATTACATAGTGTATTAAGCAGAATAATCAGAGAAACACTTCATTTAATTTTCCTTTTTTTAACGATTGGTTTATTTATGCATACAGAGCTGGGGTATAGGTGCAGGGGTGGTGAGAGACAGAGTAGGGAGCAGAACAGGCTGGCTGATGAAGTACGATGGTAAGGGGAGCAGCAGACAGGCCAAGAGATGTCTGCCACGCCAGTGTGAGCCACCCCCAGGGCGGGCATTGAACTCATGCTGAAGTGCCTTTAATTTAGTGCTGTGCTTTAACCACTGTGCCACCAGGGAAGGACCTAATTTTCCTTTTTTAATTTGTAATTATGGGTAAATACATATGTGAATATGAACTTGGTCTGCCCTAAATTTAAATTTTCAGGTTTTGCATTAGAATAATAGCTGATAAAATGACAAGTATGACATGCAAACCTAAGTGATGGGAAAATGAGTAGTTCTTTAACTTTTCTCCTTTTGTCTTAGGTGTTTACTCTTATCTTTTGGTGGTATAACAGAGGCTTGGTTAGGCCAGGGGCAGTTTCTTTCCTAGTACTCAGAGTATAAAACAAAAAATTCTTTTCACAGGCACAGAAGAAAATATTGGGATTCTGCCTCGAACTTTGAACATAATATTTGATAGTCTTCGGGACAGATTATATACAAAGATGAACCTTAAACCACATAGATCCAGAGAATTCTTACGGTTAACACCAGACCAAGAGAAAGAAGAAGTTGCTAACAAAAGTGCTTTGCTTCGGCAAATTAAAGAGGTGTGTGTGTATAAAAATTTTGACCTTTATAAGCTCTTTAATTTACTTCAGTCTGTGTTGGTATGTTTTGTGATGGTATGGTTTCTTTTATTTTTGAGAAAAGTATTAAAAACTAATTTTAAATCATCTTTTCCCTTTATATTGTACAGATAGCAGAAATGGTTAACTTTTTTTGGTTGTTGTACAAATAGAGTTGTATTCTGTATGTAATGTTTTTTTAATTTTTTTAATTATAGAAGTAGTATGTATACACAAAACAAGGGAATACAAAAGTAAAATTGAAAATTTCTGGTATTCCCATTCATAAAGGAAAAATGAAACACTGGTACTATATTGGAATGCATCCTTTTTGATCTGTATCTCCCTATATAAAATCTATATAAAGCTTTCCATATTTGTTTGTATATATACAGACGGTTACATATAGTTGCATATATCTGCATATTTTTTCTTTATATGTATAATGTAAGTTTTTTTCTTAGCAAAATTAGATGTTACTTACATGTTTTGTTACTTGTTCTATTAATACAGCTCAAGTTTCTGGCTACTTTAATTTTCCTGTCTATTGTCTACTGTTGTGTATTTCCCTCTTTTTAAATTATTTTTCCATGAAAAAATGTTCAATAAAGTCTCTTTATTCCCTCCTTGCCTTCTGGATTTTTGTGTTAATTTCAGACATTTATTAGCTTTCAGACATAACTTGTTAACGGCTTTTATAAATAGTTTTAAAGTACTGGTAGAGATTTTTCTTAAGACATATGAAGTCAGGGCTTAAAGGTAATAAAAAGTTAATGTTCGTTAGAGTTGAAGATTCAGAGACCATAGTTATGGTTTCTAAAAGTAAAATAGTGGATATTTTAACAAAAGTTATTGAAGGTTCAGAGGATAATTGCATATTTAGAGGAATTAATTTCATAGAGGAAATTAATAATGAAAAAATTTCTCCTAACATATTTTCTAGGTAAAAAAATATTTTGGCTATGAAATTAGAAAAATCTTTTTTAAAATTGAGATGAGTATTTTTATCCACTGTAAAATATGTTCCTAGAGAGCAATTTGGCAGTATTCAGAATGAGAACTTCAGTTTTTTTACTTAGGTTTTTCATCTACCAATTCTGTGTTATGTTTTTTTTTTTTTAAGATTGTTTTATTTATGCATACAGAACTGGAGTACAGGTCACAGGCACTGGGGTGGTGAGAGGCTTCACCAGAGACAGAGTGGGGAGCAGAACAGTTAGATCGACAAAGTACACTGCTGAGGGGAGCAGTAGGTAGGCCAGGAGAGGATCACCTCCCAGGTAGGCTGGGATCCAACTCATGCTGAAATAGCTTTAGTGTCTTAGTACTGTGCTTTACCCCGCTGCGCCACCAGGGAGGGCTCCTGAGTTAGATTTTTATCCTAGGGAATGTAGAAGAAAAAAATATTAAGATGTTTGTTTTAGTAGTACTTTTGTAAATAATCTAAATAATAATAGGGGAATAATCAAGTGATATCACATCTGTTCAGTTAGGTTACCATTAAATGTCTATAAAACATGTTTATACAGAGGAAAAAAAGCGTAAGATGTAATAACTGGGGAAAGGATAGAAGGGAATTTTCTGAGTTAATCATAATTGCCTCTGAATGGTTGGGTTTTCATATGATGACATTTTTAATACTCTGTAGCATCCCAAATTTTCTATTATAAGAATACATTTTTAATTATTAAAAAAAAAAAGTAGGTGACCCTCCTGGTGGCATAGCTGATAAGGCACATCACTGCAAGCTAACCGCAGCCACTTAAGGTGAGTTTGATCTCAAGCCCCGGAGGTGACCCACATGGTGGAGCAGACCTCTCCTGTCTTGGCCTGCTACTCCCCTCACAGTGTTCTTCATTGATCTGCCTGTTATGCTCCTCACTCTGCCTCTCACGGCACCCACACCTCTGGGCTCTTCCCCAGTTCTGTATGCATAAGTAAATAAATCTTTTTTTTTTTAAAGATTTATTTATTTATTCATACAGAACTGGGGTACAGGCCAGAGATGCGGAGGGTGAGAGGATTCACCAGAGACAGAGTGGGGAGCAGAACAGGCAGATCCACGAAGTACACTGCTGAGGGGAGCAGTGGGCAGGTCAGGAGAGGTCTGCCATGCCATGTGGTCACCTCCAGGGCAGGCGGGGATCTAACGCATGCGGAAGTGGCTTAAGCTTCTTTGTGCTGTGCTTTAACCCGCTGCGCCACCAGGGAGGGCCCAGTAAATAAATCTTTAAAAAAAAAAAAAAAGGCAAAGTCACTGAATTGAATACACTAGAGTGTGGTTTGGTTGATGACTTATATAGATAAGTAATTAATATACTAGCTATTTAACCTTAGCTATAAATGGTTTTAACTTTTTTGATGTTTATTTTTTTTTAGGTTGTTATGCAAAATGACAGTTATGATACTCTTTGTGGTAAGGTTACCTTTCTCTCTTACCTTTAAATACTGATTATTTTAAATATTTTTGAATTTTAATCACAACCTAGTGTTTTGATTTCATTAGTGACAGTATTTGAAAAATATACTTAATATGAAATGTTAGTCTTTGTGAAGTTTATTTACACTTAATATAGATGTTCTATTCAAAGAGAGCCCCTTTTTTTCTTTATCTTTTACATTTAATTTCAGCTTGGTTTCTAGTATATTTTCAAAGAGAAAAGAAAGATAACAGCCAAAGTTTGCTTAATACAGATATTATTTACATCTGTTTTGGTCTAAAATATGTTTGACATTGCTAGTCAGAGGATTAAGTATATTTTGTTTTTCAAGTATAGGCATCTTGCAGTATTCTGTTGTCTCATTTTTAGTTATTTGCTTAATTTTGTAATTATCCTTCTCTTTTTTTCTCTTTTGGTAGGAAGTTCAACAAATTCTTTAAATATCTCAGAATTTGAAGAATCCCTGAAAGATTGCGAACAACCTAGCTTGAACATGGATAATAATATAAAATTTTCTATATGGGTTTCTTTTTTTGAGATTTACAATGAATATATTTATGACTTGTTTGTTCCCGTGTCATCTAAGTTCCAGAAGAGAAAGATGCTGCGCCTTTCTCAGGATATAAAGGGCTATTCTTTTGTAAAAGGTATACAAATAAGTAGTTTTTTAATTTAATTACTCCAGAATCACTTTCTAGGTTTTGTTATGGCTATAAAAGAGCAAACTGGAAACCGAATTTTTTATTCTAATTAGTAACATTAAGATTATTAATATCGAGATGAGACAAATTTGTGCTTTGGAAGTATGTTTTTGTGTGTAAATTAAACCTGAATAATAAAGGTCTGATTTATCTAAGTATCACCAACTAGATTTTTGGATGTAGGAAAACTATATGTATTGACATATTGTTCTGCTATTTTGCACGTGTCCAAACTTCGGAATTTTATGGGTATATTTCTGTTTTTCCAGTAGCAGAACTTTTAATACTACTACCCTTTTTATATTACTACTCATAGTAGGAAATAGAAATATTTATAACATCGTGACCCAACACCTACATATATATACATGCATATATGCATTCATATTTGTACCTCAAATGTTTGTTTCATTAATTATGCTTAACCTTTACTACAAGGAATATGTTTCCTCTATTCTACTTTATTTTTACAAAATGTGATTATTCACTGATGAATTGTACTTTATAATATCTCACAGCTAGGTAATTTTTTTTTTTAAGATTTTTTATTTATTTGTACATATAGAACTGGGTACAGGCCAGAGGCTCAGGGGTGGTGAGAGGCTTTACCAGAGACAGAGTGGGGAGCAGAACAGGCAGATCGACAAAGTACACTGCTGAGGGGAGCAGCGGGCGGGTCAGGAGAGGTCTGCCACGCCATGTGGATCTCCTCTTGGGCAGGCAGGGATTGAACTCATGCGGAAGTGGCTTTAGCTTCTCAGTTCAGTGCTTTAACCCGCTGCGCCACCAGGGAGGGCCACAGCTAGGTAATTTTAATCTGTGTCATATTTTGCCTTTTTTTCGGGGTATCTAATTTGAGGAATCTTAGCTTTTAATTTTTCCTTTGTCAAATTGTTGAACATTTACATTATTTCTGTATAACTTAAATACTAAGACATTATTATTATGACCTTTTCTTGTATATGACTTCTAGTAGAATATGGAATAACTGAGTTGAGTCCATCTAGAACATGTATTTTTTAAGATTTATTTATTCATGCATACAGAACTGGGGTACAGGTCAGAGTGCAGGGGCAGGTGGGACAGGAGAGGTCTGCTGTGCCATTGGATCACCTCCTTAGCTGGGATCAAACTGGTGCTGAAGTGGCTGCAGCTAGCTTCCTAGTGCTGTGCTTTAACCCGTTGTGCCACCAGGCACATGTTATTAAAGGAAAATTACTGAATGTGGCTTTAGAAAAAGAGATTGCATTGTATAACAAATGCTGAGTTTTTATAAATCAGTATGTCCTCTATTTTTCAAAGACTTACAATGGATTCAAGTGTCTGATTCCAAAGAAGCATATAGACTTTTGAAACTAGGAATAAAGCACCAGAGTGTTGCCTTCACAAAATTGAACAATGCTTCCAGTAGAAGGTAAGAAGTATCTTTATCGTGTAATCCTGAAGCACCAGGGTATTTTGTGCTAATTTAAATACTAATTAAGATTAAAATGTCAGTAGGTTCTTGTATGTTAAATGAATTCATAGGCATAAAACCATTGTAATCTGAAGAACACAAATAAAATGAGGACTGTTTCTTGGTTTTACTTTGGATTTACTGATTTGCAAAGTCTGAAATATTTTTACTTTTTATTTAATCTGAGTTTATTAGCATCTTCAGAGGTGTCTGTTAATAGTGGACTTTACTGTGTTATCATCATTTACCTAATAAAGAAGGACATTTTATGCATACTGAGCTAAGCCAGAATTTCAAGAAGTTAGAGAAGGATGATGTTGCTAATGAAAGGGATATAGGTAAGAGACAAATAAATAAATTTAAGCTGCAAAGTATTTAAAAAAGGTTTATCTTAAGGGTAAAGAACTTAAGTATGTGAAGGGACAGTATATGATCCAGATAAGCTTGTATTTAAGGCAAATGTGTGTTTTGCATTAGGTATATATTCAGAGGAGATTAGAAGCATTTAATACTACCTTAACTATTATTTTTGCGAGTATAGTGAAACTTTATTGTACGTGGCTCCAGTAGCACAAGCAGATGGAAGGATGTGAAAGATAGGTATTTGGTTTTAAGTAATTAGGCATATGGCCTGGACCACTAGATTAAAGTATGGCTGATACTAGCATATGACTAGATGTCAATTTTATGTTTGCTACTTCTAATTAGAAAAAGAAATTAAGAATGAAAGATAACAATTGATCTTTGTATACTTCTTTTAGTCACAGCATATTCAGTGTTAGAATATTACAGATTGAAGATTCTGAAGTGCCTCGTGTGATGCGTGTCAGCGAGTAAGTTGAACACTCTTTAAATTGTAATTACTTGGAATTGTTTAACTTTGAAGAACTTTTAAACTTCTATTATTGTTGTTAATTCAGATTGTCTTTATGTGATCTGGCTGGTTCAGAACGAAGTATGAAGACACAGAATGAAGGTGAAAGGTTAAGAGAAACTGGGAATATCAACACTTCTTTATTGACTCTGGGAAAGTGTATTAATGTTTTGAAGAACAGTGAAAAGTCAAAGTAAGTCTAATTGAAGTCCTTATTAACCTTAGGATTATAATATTTTTTGTGCTTTGCCAATTTATTGTATAATAGCTATGGATGAATTATGATTAAAATGCTTACAGGTCTTGGAGTTTTAAAATTTGATAAAAATAAAAAACAATTGTCAGTTGATGTCACCAGTGACTCTTCAAGTGAACCCAACATGTTCCATTACAAGTACTATTAACAGATTCTTTAGATGGTCTTTACATGATGCTGTTTCAACATCTAAGAGTGATGAATAAATACTTTTTTTTTTTTTTAAATTTATTTATTCCTGCATACGGAACTGGGGTATAGGCTAGAGGTATAGGGGCGGTGAGAGAATTCACCAGAGACAGAGCGGGTAGCAGAACAGGCAGATCAACAAAGTACACTGCTGAGGAGAGCAGTGGGCAGGTCAGGAGAGGTCTGCCACGCCATGTGGATCTCCTCTGGGGCGGGGATCGAACTCATGCTGAAGTGGCTTTAGCTTCTTAGTGCTGTGGTTTTTTTTTTTGTTTTGTTTTGTTTTAAAGATTTATTTATTTATGCATATAGACTGGGGTACAGGTCAGAGGTGCAGGGGCGGCGAGAGGCTTCACCAGAGACAGAGTGAGGAGCAGAACAGGCAGATCTACGAAGTACACTGCTGAGGGGAGCAGCGGGCGGGTCAGGAGAGGTCTGCCACGCCATGTGGTCACCTTCGGGGCAGGTGGGAATCGAACTCATGCGGAAGTGGCTTTAGCTTCTCAGTGTTGTGTTTTAACCCGCTGCGCCACCAGGGAGGGCCTCTTAGTGCTGTGTTTTAACCCACTGCGCCACCAGGGAGGGCCCTAAAACCAGAATTTATTCTTATTAATACATGTATTTTTCTAGATGTGAAGGATTTCAAGTTTAATTAGCATGTTAGACTGAATAAATTATAAATCAGCTTTCATCATTGGTAGTAAAGGTGTTTCATGGTTTCTGTTTTGAAATACCTCCATGTAAGAAAACTCAACCCTGTTCAATGTGATTTTCTTTACATTTTGCCTAATGTATTTATTGGTGTTGGTGGTAGTATTTAGTAGTAGTATTTAAGGAAATCATAAAAATATTATTACAATTGGGATTAGCCACTAACCTAGAATTAAGTTGTGTTTTAAAGAAAGATTTATTCAATCATACAGAACTGGGGCACAGGCCAGAGACAGAATGGGGGCAGAACAGACAAATTGACTAAGTATACTGCTGAGGGGAGTAGCAGGCGAGACAGAAGTCTGCTGCGTCATGTGGGTCACATCCCTATTGGCGAATTGAACTAGTCCTGAAGCAGCTGTGGCTAGCTTTTTAGTGCTGTGTTTTAACTTTACCCTTGCGTCACCAGGGAGGGCCAGAACTAAGTTCTTGATAGCTAAGTTAATAATTTCTTCATAATATTTGTCAGCATTCTGACTTCATAGGACTTCTTTACTGACTTAGTGTTTTGACATTTTTTCCAATAGGTTTCAACAACATGTGCCTTTCCGGGAAAGTAAACTGACCCATTATTTTCAAAGTTTTTTTAACGGTAAAGGAAAAATATGTATGATTGTCAACATCAGTCAATGTTGTCTTGCCTATGATGAAACACTCAATGTGTTGAAGTTCTCAGCCATTGCACAAAAAGTAAATATATTCAAATTTCTGTGGTATTATTAAGCCCTTATTAGCATATTAGTAAATCCCCCCACCACAGTAAGTACTAGATTTAGGGGGTTTTTTTTGTTGTTTTTTTTTTTTAAGATTTATTTATTTGTGCATCCAGCTCTGGGGTACAGGCCAGAGGTTCAGGGGCAGTGAGAGTATTCACCAGAGACAAGAGTGGGGAGCAGAACAGGCAGATGTACTGAAATACACTGCTGAGGGGAGCAGTGGGCGGGGCAGGAGAGGTCTGCCATACCATGTAGATCACCTCCGGGGTAAGCAGGGATCGAACTCATGCGGAAGTGTCTTTACCTTCTTAGTCTGTGCTTTAACCCACTGTGTCACTAAGGAGGGCCCTAGTTTTGTTTTTTAAAGAAAAATCATATGATTCAGCAATCTTTCTTCTAGGTATCAATACAAAGAACAGGAGAGCATTAACTCAGTTATATGCACTACAGTGCTTATTGCTGCATTGACAACAGTGAAAATATGGAGGCAACCCATTGCTAGGTGACTGGATAAAGAAGTTGTGGCATGCATACACAATGGAATACTATTCAACTGTATCAGAAGAGATGAAATTTTGTCATTTGCATCAAATGGAAGGGACTTCCATTTTTCTTGATTTTTAAAGAAAAACAAAAAGCATACATACCACCCCTTTAGACTCCATCCACCCTTATCCCCACCAACCCTTTCCTCCACCCTCTTCACCTTTGATAACCTCATTTTAGTTTTTAATGTGCACTAGTTTATTTTGTCCATTCTTTTGTCTTTTTGAAAAATATTACACATATAGATGAAATTATTCAATATTTTTCTGACTAATTTCACTTGGCATAATCAGTCTCCTTAAGTTCCTTCCATTTGATGCAAATGACAAAATTTCATCTCTTCTGATATAGTTGAATAGTATTCCATTGTGTATGCATGCCACAGCTTCTTTATCCAGTCACCTAGCAATGGGTTGCCTCCATATTTTCACTGTTGTCAATGCAGCAATAAGCACTGTAGTGCATATAACTGAGTTAATGCTCTCCTGTTCTTTGTATTGATACCTAGAAGAAAGATTGCTGAATCATATGGTAATTATATTTTTATTATTTTGAGAAAGGCTCATACTACTTTCAAAATCAATGTATAAATTTATGTACTCACCAGTGGCATAGAAGGGTTCCTCAGTCTTCACATGCTCACAAACATGTTAGCAGTCCTTTGATGTAAACAATTTTCACAAGTGTGAGATAATAAATTTCGCGTTAAGCTGTAATTTAGGGGAAATAACTGAAAAGTAAAAGGGTCAGTATTTGACAAGGGAGGATATAGAAAAGATTGAAGTTATCTCTGCTAGGATTAAGATGACCTCAGTTTAAAATGTTAATAGTAAACTCCTCTTACAAATTGTAAGTATTCTTGGCAATATATTATAAGCTCTGCCATCCATTTGGTTCATTTAGTGGCTAATCAGGCAACTCCCTACTTGGAATAGCACTAAGAACTGAACCCGGAAAGTCAGTGTTCCTGTGGAATACATAAATAAGTGACTTTTTCTTACAGGAATACTTGTTTAATGATACTAATTCTTGTTTGTATGTTTCTTTGTATAGGTTCTTTTTAAAACACTCAGATTATCATTTGACTTAAATATATATTTCATGGACAGTTCATGCTTTTTGCTATTTTAAGTCACATTGGATATTTTAACAGGTTTGTGTTCCAGACATTTTAAATACCTCACAAGAAAAATCATTTGGACCTGCCAAGTCATCTCAAGATGTACCACTGGATGATAATTCAGATAATAAAATATTAAACATAAAAAGATCCACAGTTTCATGGGAGAGTAGTCTAGAAGATCTGGTAGAAGATGAAGATCTGGTTGAAGATCTAGAAAAAAACAAAGAAAACCAAAATGTGGAAACTGAACTTAATGATGAAGATCTGGATACAACATTAGAAGAAGATAAATCTTTCATTAGCCACGAGAGAAAGAGAGTATGTATTAAGAATTCATACTTTTAACCTTGGTTTTTTTTTAAACAATAAGTGTTTTATTTCTCAACTTTATATTTAATACAGATGGCACCCATTTATACTTTACCTGGATTTGCCAGTTTTACCATATTTACTTTTCTTTCTTTGGGTATATGAACATACTCTCTTTTCAGGTCTGTACTATTTAAAAACAAGATGCAGAAATGCTACCTTACATCTGCACCCCGTTATATATTTGTTACTTCAGTATACATTCTTAGAAGTTAAATTTCAAAGTCACAATACCTATAGGAATACTTCAGTTATGATATTGAGCATTGAAAGTTCTGTACTTTTGATAGTTGATTAACTTATTATTGAGAAACTGAATAGAAACCTTTAAAATGAACATTGACTATGGGTGCTGAGGTGGTGGGCGTGGTTTACTAATATCTGAAGGGAAAGATTCTGTACCTGTAAAACACAAACAGCTCTAAACTGATATTACCTCAAACAAAAAAAAAGGAATATCAAGCTATTTTCTTGATGCTGTAATTTATTTTATAGCAGATCTGTGCTGTTACTATATCTATATCAGGTGTTATTGAAAAGCCCTTTAAGATAAGATAATTCTGTGCTATTTTGGACAGTGTTTAAGGATTCTTAGCAACTACTCTATGTAACACTTGGACTTTAGATTTTGACAGATACCCTATTTTTTTATTTTTATTAACTGGTTTATAACACTATATGAACCAGAGATAATAGGATCACATGTCGTCAGAGACATGTAACCACACTACACCTACAACCAAGGCACGCTTAGTCCATTTGCTTGCCACCCCCTCACTTTCTGGTAATCTTAGTTCTACAGATAGATTTCTTTTTGGATATTTATTTATGCATACATAACTGGGGTACAGGCTAGAGGTGCAGGGGCGGTGAGAGGAGACAGAGTGGGGAACAGAACAGGCCGACTGACGAAGTACACTGCTGAGGGGCTCAGTGGGTGAGACAGGAGAAGTCTATGTAGGTCAAACTTGTGCTGAAGCAGCTGGGGCTAGCTTGCAATGCTGGGCTTTAACCTGCTGCACACTAAGAGGGGGCCCAACTACAGACAGATTTCTAGTGTTTCTAGTGTTTCTGAATTGGTTTTGATCGATCCTTTGTTTTATTTCTTTCTATTACACACTCCAATGAAACCACACAATAATTGTCTTTCTCCTTCAGGTTTCTCCTAGCATTAGGCCTTTCAGTTCCTTCAACATTGTTGCAAATGGCAATATATTAAAACTAAATCTATCATGGGGCAAGCAGTTCTAATCCTAGGTATATACAGGAAGAAAGCAGAAACACCAATTAGAAAGGATATATACACTCTTATGTGCAATGTACTATATACAGTAATAGAATTATGAAAATAACCTAAGAACAGATGAATGAATAAAGATCTGCTATATATGCAAAATGTTGTTTGTGTTTTAAAGGCATAGAATCTTCCCCCTTCAGATGTTTCTATATCACACTCACCACCCCAGCACCACAGTCAATGTTCTTTTTAAAGATTTCTTTTCAGTTTTCTCAATAATAAATTAATCAACTATCAGAAATACAGATCTTTCAAAATAATGTTTTCCATAATGACAGTACCAATTTGCATTCCCACCAACGGTGTATGAGGCTTCCTTTTTCTCCTCATTCTTGGCAACATTTACTATTTTGGGACTTTTTGATAGGGACGATTCTCAATGTGTAAGATGGTATCTCATTGGAGTTTTGATTTACATCAAATCATGATAAGTGATAATGAGCAATTTTCATATTCCTACTCACCATCTATGTATGTTCTTTGCTTAAGTATTTAACTCATTTTCTTAATTGAGTTTTTGTTATCTTTGTTGGATTTTATGTGTTCTTCATAGATCTTTCATATCAGCCCCTTGTTAGATGTATGATATACAGATATTTTCTCCCATTCAATAGCATGTCTTTTTGTCTTCATGATAGTTTCATATGCTATTAAAAAAGTTTTTAGCTTGATGTACTCCCATTTTTTATATTCACTTTTGTTTCTCTTGCTGATGGAAACAAATCCACAAAAATGAAACCAATGTCATGGAATATTTTAACTTTTTTTCTTTACTGCTTTTTATGATTTCAGGTCTTATGTTCATGTCTTTCATCCATTTTGAGCTAATTTTTTTAATAAGCTATGAAATGGTGATGTACATTCATTCTTTTGTATGTGGCAGTCCAGTTTTACCAACATCACTTATTGAAGAGAATTTCTTTTCTCCAATGTATATTACTGGCTCCTTTCTTGTAGATGAACTTTGTTTATTTCTGGGATTTTAATCCTATCCTTTTGATCTGTATGTCTTTTTTATTATTATTATTGTTTGAAGATTTATTTATTTATGCATACGAACTGGGGTACAGGTCAGAGGTGTGGAGCAGTGAGAGTATTCACCAGACACAGAATGGGGAACAGAACAGGCAGATGTTCTGAAACACACTGTTGAGTGGAGCAGTGGGGAAGCAGAAGTGGTCTGCTCTCCCATGTGGGTCACCTCCCTGGCTGGGAATCGAACTTGGTGCTGCAGTGGCTTTGGATAGTTTATTCATGCTCTGCTTTAACCTGTTGTGCCACCAGGGAGGGCCGATGTCTGTGAATCTTTTTTTGGTTCTAGTATCATACTGTTTTAATTACTATAGCTTTGTGACATAGTTTGAAGTCTGGGATTGTGTTATCATCTCTTTTTGCCAGGATTGCTTTGATTATTCTGTGTCTCTTGTGGTTCCATGTGAATTTCATTACTGCTTGTTATATTTCATTAAAGAATACCTTTGGATCCTTAATAGGGGTTGCATTGAATCTGTATATATTACTTTAGGTAAGGTGGCCATTTTAATGTTATTTTTTCCAGACAATGATAAGGGCCATTTTCCTATATTTTGGTCTTCAATTTCTTTTAACAATGTCTTACAATTACCATGTAGGTTCTTTACCTCATTTGTTTACTTCTAGGCATTTAATTGTTTTTGCTGTGATTGTAAATTAGATTGTTTTCTTGATTTCTTTCTCTTTTAAGAATATTTGCATGTAGAAACACAACTGGTTTTTGTAAATTTTGTAACCTGATGTTTTACCGTATTGATTTATTATTTCAATTTTTATTTTAGAATCTGTATTGTCATACTATATGTAAATAGTGATAGTTTTACTTCTCTCCCAATTTGAATTCCATTAATATCTTTCTCTTCCCTTATTACTTCCAATAATATGTTGAATAGTAGTGGCTAAAGTGATCATCCTTGTCTTCACTAGATCTTAGAGGAAAAGCGTTCAGAGTATTATGTTAGTAGTATATTTGTCATATATTGTCCTTTATTATGTAGAGGTATATTCCAACTTTAAAAATTGTCATAAATGGATGTTTATTCATATCAAATGCTTTCTCTGTATCTATTGAGCATGCCATACAATTTTCTTTCCTTTTGTTAATATGAATTACATGGATTGATTGTTGATCTTGACCCACGATCTTGTCCCTGCAATAACTCCTAAGTGGTCATGATGTATGATTCTTTTGATAAATTGTTTAAACCAGTTTGCTAAACTCTTCTTGAGAATTTTTGCACTTGTGTTCATCAGGGATATTGGTCTATAATTTTCTTTGTGATATGTTTACTTTTGTTATCAGAGTATTGTTGGCCTCATAAAATATGTTTGGAAGCATTCCTTCTTAATATTTTGGAAGTTCGTGAGAAAATTGGGTACCAGTTTGTCTTTGGAGGTTTGGTAAAACTCATGAGTGAAACTGTGGTCCTGGGCTTTTTGTGTTTTAAAAAATTTTGATTGCTAATTCAGTTTCCTTCCATGTAATTAGTCTGTTCATGTTTTCTACTTCTTCTTTGGCAGATTAACTTTAAACCTAGCCATAAGTAAAGACTTGATCAATACCTTCCACACCTCTGAAATTGGTTGTAATAATAAGTGACTTCACAGAATGTTATGCAAATTAAATGAAATTAAATATGAATTCCTCAAAGTAATTCCTGGTGGATAATAGATACTCAAATTTTCTTTTTCTTTCTTAATGTGACTAGGAGAGACATGTGAGTTTTACATCTGTTTCAAAAATTTAGAGTGACTCAGCTGATTTTCTTCACATTAATGAATGTCTACAAATTCCATTTTTTCAGTGAGAATATTATCTGCTATTAAAAGCAGATATAATTGCCTGATGAAAAGAGTACTACTTTTGAACTTTGGAAGTATTTCTCTTGGGATATACTTGTTCTTTTATTATAATTTTCTTCTTTTATTATAATTTTCATCTGCATATGTTATAGAAACTGCTGGATTTAATAGAAGACTTGAAAAAAAAGTTAATAAATGAAAGAAAAGAAAAGTTAACATTAGAATTTAAAATTCGTGAAGAGGTTACAGAGGAGTTTACTCGATTTTTGGCTCAACGGGAAGCTGACTTTAAGTAAGTGATTTCTCTTATGCCATGGCAAAGATTGAAATTTTCATTTACTTGTTTAAATATTTTTTAGTTTATTTATTTTATATCAGATGTTTTGTGTATCTTATTTGTGATCTCTTATTTGTACATACCTGAGAATAGCTGCTACTAACTCCTGTGGTTATTCCAAATTATATGTGAATGACTACTTGAGCTTGCTTTTAATTTATAATGTAATCGCTTCTAAGCCTTTGGCTAAGATCAAGTATAATTTATAATGTCTTAATTATAGCCATTTAAAACAAATACAACCGGTACTTTCTCTTTTTCTTAATGGGATTAATTTGTGTTCTAAAGGGAGACTCTCCTTCAGGAACGAGAACTATTAGAAGAAAGTGCTGAATGTCGATTGGCTATTTTCAAGGAGTTGGTTGGTAAATGTGACATTCAAGAAAAACCATCCAATGAAGATCATGCCATGAAAGTTGAAACCAAAGTATGTTAAAACTAATATAGCATTTTGTTCCAGGAGTTAGTTTGCCAGAGCAATGATAAGAAATACGTAGTTTTATCGCAATTAAGCGTGCTTTTAAGGAATGAACTTTAGCTAGTTTAAATATAGCTATTGGACTTGGAAAAATTTATACTTGTTACACTTATATCTCATTTTAGTGTTGGTTGAGTCATTATATCAGATTATAATTAGGTAAATTCCTGTTTGTCTGATTATAGGATATCCTTTTATAAGGAACCTGAAAAGCAGTTAACTTAATACTCTAATTAAAATATTTCTATGAAATGGGTTGCTCTTGCTGGCCAATTGATGATTCCCTACTGTTCCCTCCTTAAACTTTTTCGCTATCCCACCAAAGTTGAAATTGACATTGTCTTTTGGAGGTTGATGATTGTTATTATTGCTTTGCTTTATAATTATGCTGCAAGACCCTGTAATGGTGATGCCGACTCTTCCTATGTCCATCATTGTGTGCCTGACATGGTTGGGTCTTGTATTGAGTCCCATCAAAACCTTTTAAGACTCATTACATTACAAAGTGTACCTAAGCTAGAGAATTATAGTTGTTTAATAATCATTTAATGCCATTTATGACCTTGTTTTGGTAGGGAAAAATATAAAGCTAATATCTTTCATTAACAACTGATTTAGACATGTTATTTTTTAGTTGCAAATTGTGAATTATTCTGCTATGTATTTTTAAAATGTCTGTAAATCAGATGGTACCACATTGGAGTAGTGAAAGCCACTGTTAACATTAGGCATGTGGTTTTTGCTATTTTTAGGAAACACATAATTATGTAGGAATTGAAGATATTATTGATTCTCTTCAAGATGATGTCACTGATATTAAGAAACAGGCTGAAATTGCTCACTTATATATTGCATCTCTTGCTGACCCCCAGGAAGCTATTGCTTATTTAGAACTAAAGTATAATCATGTTAAAACTGAATTAAGTAAAACCAAAGAGGAATTAATCAAAGCCCAAGAAGAGTTAAAAAAGAGAGAAAATGGTAAGTAGATCATTTCACCTGTCTTCAGTTGCTACAAATGCATGAAAAAAACAGTTGGTGAGTATAAGAGATTCATGCAGCTTGTTAGTTAGGCCAGAAGATAATGACCAGAAAAGTCTTTGTAGCTAATATATTTAATATTTTGTAGTTTCTATGAATTTATAGTAACTTACTATTATAGGTATTTTTCCTTAAAGTTGCTTTTAAACTAATACTAGAAAATAGATTTCTCAACTAAGAAAACCACTATTAACTTTTAACAGCAAACTTTAAAATCTCACAGAAAATCATAAAGCTGTAAGTTTTGTTTTATATTATTTATAAATTCTCCTGGTATAAGAATTTTCATTTAGCAGATACTACTGAAGGTTTGCAAGTTTGGGAGACAGTGACTACTGTCGAGTGGTCTTACGAACTGTTATATTACTGCTTCATTATAACTGTGTGTGTGTCTGTGTGTGTGTGTGTGTGTGACATATGCGGCCCTTTTCTGTGTTGAATAAGATAGGTGAGAAGTAGCAGGTTACTGTAGCTATACATTTTTTAAAGTGAATTTTGTTCATGATTATTAATGATAAATTATTTTCAGTGTTTTAAGATCAATTCAATATTCTTAATTTTTCAGATTCAGAAATTAACTTAAATTCATTGACTGAAGAGCTTGAGAAATCTAGTAAGGTAATAATTTTAAGCTTTATTTTGTCTTGACATAATAAGAAAAGAACAAATATTATGACTACATTTATTTTTAAATAATTTAAGAAAAACTAGTAAACAAATGTGATTTTATTTTACTTTACTTTATTTTACTTATTTTATTTTATTTTATTTTAACGAATGTGATTTTAAACAACTTAGAATCTAAGTGTCCATATCTTCATACATCTTGTCAGGGATGACTACAAAAGTTTTTTAGGGGCCTTCCCTGGTGACCACTAAAAGTTAAGTCTCAGCGCTATCACCACTGCAGCCTAAATTCAATCCCTGTCTAGGGCGTAACCCACATAGCACAACAAAACTCTCCTGTCTTACCTACTATTTCCCTTAGCAGTGTATTTCATTTAATCTGCCTATTCTGCTCCCTACTCTATCTGGTGAATCTTCTCACCCCCAAGCTCTGGCTTACCCCCCAGTTCATCTGTGTAAATGAATGAGTGTATTTGTAACTTAAAATGTTTCAACAAATTTGAAAATAAAATTTTATAAAATTGAAACATCTGGTTTTTACAATTATTTATATATGTGAACTAATCCAATTTTATTTTACTTTAGGATAAGATTGGTAAATCTCCTTTAATAATAGCCAGTAAATTGTCTTGCAATGAAACAGTTGAAAGGCCTAAGGATAAAACTGAAAACTGTTCAGGAAGAAAAAGATTAAGTGAAAATGATCTTCAACATGATGAACCACCTCCAAAGAAAGGTACTACTTCAGCCAACAGGTGGTCTTTAAGAAAGCTAACTATGAAAGCAGTAAACAGAAAAGTAGCAAAGTAGTATGAAATTTACTGGTCTGAGGAAAAAAACAGGAATTCTAAGTGTCAGGAATTCTAAATTTGTCTAAAGGATAGAAATAATTAAAGCTACCTTTATTTTTTTTTTTATATAATTTATTTTTACATCATTTTGCACATTTTTTTTCCCATCTCA